TGCGACTCTCCTTTAATATAGGACGAAAATAAGAGCGCTGGTGCGGCTTAAGGAGGCGAGCACCTGCCTCTGGTTGGGCTGGAGGGCTGGGCGTTGCCGAGTGCGCTGGAGGGTATGGTGCATATTTGTGGAGAGATCAGGGACCAAGCCTTCTGGAAGGGGTTTTGTGTGTTTGAAACGTAGTGTTTTTTTTATTATTATTATGTAGAAGCTTATATATTGTGAATGTTCTGCTATGTTAGCTTGAATGTACCAAGAGGGCACTGTGATTTAAGAAGAACCCAGCAGCGCGTGGTTCATTTTCATAGCAGGTGTGCTTTTAGTTTAGACATTGTTGACGGTCTTCTGTTCCCATGGAAAAGGGAATTGGAAACATGTAGGGGATAAGTTGTGGGGAAAAGGGGATGGGAAGCAGAAGGCAGTTTGGGAAGACTTGGCGAGGTGGACCTGTTTCCATGGGTGGCAGGTAGCTCTTGGGTGTCCTGCGTCTCTGATGTCCCAGTGAAGTGATCTTCTAGGCTGAAGATCTCGTGGCCTGCAAGTCAGCTTTTCTGCTGTACGTTTTACGATGTACTTCTGCTTTAATGATTACCGGTACTGATTTTCTGAAATGGCGAAAGAAGCAGGTTTCTGTGGTATTCAGTTAAGCGAGTGTTAAGCTACGGCAGTGCGAACTGCTCCGTCTCCAATACGTGACAGTACAGTTATTCCCATGTCTGCCCTTTGATCCACTACAGTTGCTGTAAGTGATGAAAGAAAGAGGTAAGGTGTGTGAAACAGGAAGAAATGGCACGTTATGGCCTTGAGGTTGAGAAAACGACTTTCCAGCCACTAACGTTTGTTCCTTAAGAATATTTATGTCTTTCCTGCTGGACAAATAACCCACTTATGACTTGAAGTGGAGACCATACAGTAGGAGGAAAAAATGCAATTTTGTGTGTTTATATAAAATATTACCAGTGTTTTGGAACTGCTCTACAGAGGATGAGAGTGTTAGAATTGCTTGTGAAGGGCAGAAGCACCAGTGAAGTGCTGGTCAGCATATGAAATACAGGTGCCTTTATGGGTAAGTATTTGCGTTGGTATTTGAGCTTCTGAATAATTTATTTAATTTGCATAGCGCTCAGTTCCTCTTTTCCTTAGTGATGTAAGTTTTTTTTTGTTTGTTTGTTTGTTTTGTTTAACTTTTGTGGACCAGGCTGCCTGACTAGCTGGTATAGATCTCCCCATTCAGCAGCAGGATTTTCTATCTATCTCTCTCTTTTTTAGCTCTAGCTTCCAGATTAAATCCTCACCTGTTACCAACCAAGGATATGATGACAGGCAGTTTTCCTTAAGCTCAGAGTCCGAAAATGTTTGACCTTACATAATGACCCAGGCAAACGAGTCTGAGATTTGAGAAGTACCGCCCTCCTCTGCCTGCTGACCCTGTGCAGCTGAACCATGGTAGTCACAGTGCCAGACCGTACTCGAGGAAAAGAGTGTGGTGAAATTTAGTTGTTTTGGAAACAGTGAGGGCCCCAACTGCTGTTCGGAAGTCAAAAGACTGTGCAACTATGCTGCTCTCCTTACGGTTTGCATAACCAAAATTGTGGGAGTGGACAGAGTTGTATAAAGTTTATCTTAAGAAGCTGCTTAGCTTCCTTTTGGAAAATGATGTTTTAAAAATTACTCTTGGGCCACGTAAGGGCTATTCTAAATGGTTTTACTCAGACATTCGGATTGCTGAGTGAGTCGCGATACTCTTTAAAGTCACACGCTAATCGGAGCTGCTGTCGGACATCTGGCCCCGAATCCCTTCAGGATCTGTGTTTTCCGCTTGGAGAGGATTTTTGAAAGCCCACTGCACAAACGGCATCCTTTTTGTACTCCTGGGCAGATAAAACGGTTGTGTTGTAGGCACGCAGTAGTGATGGAGAGCTTTGCTGGGACTCTGCGTGGCAAATGCAGGTTCCTGCCTGCGTTGTTGCAGCCCGGGGATCAAGCGTGGCAACGTGGTGCCTTCCAGAAAGACACAAAAATAGTTCCTTATTAACTAAAACTTGAGTGTTTCATGCTGGAAAACTTTCAGTACTCATGTGCTCCAGCCACCACAAGTTGCAAATGGTCAATGGCAGTTTTAACAGCAGAGTTTCTAGCTAAGGACATTGTGCCAGTTCGGAGGTGTTAGAGTTGAGTTTCTGTATTACAAAACTTGAAATATGGTGGATAGC